TTGGATTGTCTTCACTAGCAGCCTCAAATCAGAATGACAAAATCAAAACCACTTGGTAAAAGCGCTAACAACTTGGCCGAGATTGACATCGACGTCGTTCGATATAAAAACTGTTTGTGTTAAAACAGAGGGTAGAAGTGACTCTAAAAACACTTGTGATGAAGTGCGCCATTATAATTAATCTATCTTCGCTTCTTGATTACGACTTTTCCGTTTTCGCTGCAAATAAATATGAGAAAATGACATCTTCAAGACAAGGCAAATAATGGTAGTTGATAAGAACAAGTGCATGACTCATTTCTATTTCTAGAAAAAACGGCCCCCTAATTAAGAGTTAAACGACTGTTTTTTACATCCAAATAATCGTTGAATGGTATATCTTTATTCATAAATTTTTAAAATATTATTTTATTATTTAGATTTATATTTTAATAACAAATAAAGAATAAATTTATTTTAAACTATTAGTATTTTAAAAAAAAAGAGATCAATAAATCTTTTAATAGTTAAAATTAATCAAAATTTAATTTAAAAGAGATAATTATACAAATCCTAATTACTCAATTATTAGAGTTTAGTGAGATTAACGAGAATAGAATTTGAGAAATTTTTATTAATGATTATAGAAAAAAAGAATAATGATTGTATAGAATTATAATAATATTAAAGTAAAAAATAAAATATAAATTTAGATAATAAATAATATTTTAAAAATTTATGAGTTAAAAGTGTCATTAACCGTTTACTTCTTAATTAATTTAAAAAATAAAAATAAAAAAAGGTGCAAGGTTTGGCTGTTCTTTTTTCAACTGGGATTTAATTGGCCATTACGAAATGACGTGTTTGAAATAGGATACCGCATCTACAGGTTGTCTTGATGATAATGGAAAGATATTTGTTGAATATTTAATGGGTGAATTTATTGTGATGTTGACTGTTGAGCCGACGCTTGAAAGTGGTACCTATTTCTCGCTTTAAACAATAATTAAATATCTCACCATTGAAATTTGCGACGTATTGATCGAGGGTGACCACGGCCATTCATCATTAAATGAGCGATACCACTTGCTGGCTGTCTTCATTCGGTATAAATCCAAATTCATTGTATATTACGACTATATTTGTTGGATTAAAGTGACACTTATTAATTGATTATTGGATTTATAATAAACAATTTTAATATATTGGTTTTGATAACAATGACGTCACACGTATGCAGCATTAAGAGATTATTAAAAATCACACGTAATTAATAGAAGAGTTGATTAAAGGATGATGTCATCATAATTGTATGCAAAAACTTAAAAGTAAATAAGATGATGAGAGTTTTATAGTGGTTCAGATACATAAAGTGATTTTTATATCTACTATTTTCTTTTATATGAGTGTTATGAGTGATTAGTTAAGTTTATAAAAAGTTACAAATTATGAATTAAATTACAAATGCTTGGTTTTATGAGAGAATATTAAGTTAGTCTCTTTCTTGTAGGGTATTTTTACTATTTTCTTTGTTAAATTCAGAGTGTTTGATCCTAATTTTACGAGGGGGAGTTACTTATTTATATCCGCTGAGTTCAAGGTAATTATTATAAGTCTGTAAACAAGTAGGTACCGTGCAAATCTTTCTTTGCGTCCCATTGGTTGATAACTTAGGAAATTAAATGGGGTTAGATAGGTGTGCGAACCAAATTCATACACAGATAAAACTTGAGTCGGCTGGGTTATTGACTGCTATATTCTTTTTGTCTTAAGTGACGTGACAGACTTCGGACGACCTAATCTCTTAGGATTTTGAAACTATCGACTAGATAAAAACTTATGTAGCTACCTCTATTAGCACCTGAAGAGAGATTTGAACTCAAGATTTCTTAAATTATACACCTAAGAGTTTTTATCGAATTATTCGGGCATAAGAGGTAATTAAACTTTCTCTCTTCTCTTGCTTATTTTCTTCCCTCTTCGGACACTCAATTTTCATCAATATTTCACTTTACTCACAATTATATCAAATTTCTCCACACTCTTCTGATATTATGGAAATTGCCACATCAAGACCGCCCATTTACGAAGGGCCTCTCTATTATTTTCTAAATTGAACTGTCAATTTCTCCAAATAATAAGGAGATGAATGAAACTTATCCTCAATTTTATCACAAAATAAATGTAAAAGTCAACCAATTTACTATCGAACTGGTCATATCATGCTGATTTTTCAAAAGATAAACCAAGCATCAATTTAGATTAATCAATTTTGAAGTTTCAACAGCCCTATCTCTCTTACTGTTCAATCAAATATGCTTCAAATTTGTTCATTGGAGCAGCCAGAAATGTCCACTTCCACAATATTTTTTGGCACTTCTCAATCTTCTCCCGTCAAGCTTGGGAGGCTTCTTGCCATCATAAAATTATGTCAAAAAGTCATAATTGCAAGACTTGGTAAAGAGATCAAAATTATAATTTCAAAGTCCAAAAATTGAAATTACCACGTGGCTTCGTTTATGATTATTTTTTTCCTAATTTTTGGAAATATTTAAAAATGATTGAAAAATACGAAAAATATAAAAACATGTATAAAATGGTTTTTTGAAAACACAAAAAAAGGGGAAATTTATCATCTAGATAACCAATAAAAAATAATAATCTTCTCAATCTATTTGGTGTTTATTAATGAGTATTTTCCCTCAACCGATGGTAAAACTCTCTATTTTGTAACAATAAAAAATGATAAATTTATATTCGAACACCAGTGATTAGAGATTTTACAAGAGAGAAAAAAATAAAAAAATGTAAAATGAGTTGATAAACAAATCATAATATTCTCAATCTATTTGGTGTTTGATGTCATTAGCTATTTTAAAATGAGTTCAGAAAATGGGTTTTGCATTGTTTTTAAAGATATACTTTCCGTTTATTTTAAGTATTAATTATTAAAAATGAAACGTTGAATTATAAGAATTATCTCTGGGTAGTCAAGTGGTTCGATGAGGGCTTTTGGGTGTATTACTTAAAAGGTCTTGAGTTCGAATCCATGAGGGCTTTTGGGTGTATTACTTAAAAGGTCTTGAATTCGAATCCTTCCTCGATTGTTAATAGGACTAGTCATTGGAGCTCTTACCCAGTTGATAGTTTCAGGGTCTCGATGGATTTAGACATCCTCCATCATTAAAAAATAAAAATAAAAATTATTATTATTAGTATAATAAGTATGGAGATAAAGACTTGGCTCACTGCAACGTATTTGTAGTCCTTACTCCTTGCACATGTCTCAAGTCTTAGCCTTTTGTATTTTAATAAAACAAAATCTTCAAAGGTTTACTCATCAACTACGCCAAGCTTCCATCGTAGAAAACAAATTTTTGTAACTAAAAATGCGACTTAATTAATTTTGAATAATTAGACGGACTTTGGACTTTTCTCAATTCATTATTTTCTATTGACTCCTTCACCACGTCCATTATTCTCATTTTAATTTAAATTATCCAAATAATATAATTAATTATTTAACTTTACATAAAAATAAATAAATTATAGTGTGATTACGATTTCACAGTCCTATGGAAGAATATTAATGGGAGTGGCCAAGTCAATAAGACAAATAATTAGTGATGTAATAAGATAGTCTAATACAAAGCCATATAAATAAGGCTGGTTACATATATTCTTGATGTAATTACTTGCATGATTCTAATTGATTACGCAAATGCAATTTTTTAAACTGTTTTAGTTGAAAAGGAATTATTCTGTTAAACTCCAGAGAACCTTCTAAATCTACTTCATTGTAGTTTCATTATAGAATTGCTTAAACAAATGATGATTACACAGATCATTATGTTTTGACCAAAGAAATAAACTAGATAACTAACTGAACTATATACTATAATTATACAATAAAGTATAATGTTTAGTATAAATAAAGACCTAATCACAATCCCCCTTTTAATCCAATATAAAATTAAAATGGAAAAAAAAAAAAAAACCAAGTGCGGGTCAAGGAAGGAAATCAAAGAACAAAAAATTAAGAACGCGGTGTCGTTTTTATTGAGAAATATATATTTGATCATTGACCAAAACCTATTCACATTCTCATACTATTCCATAAATTATCAATTCCTATTATGATTCTTGTACGAGGAACACATTCAAAATCTGGCCGAATAACTTTTTGAACCCCAATCTATGCGAAAAATACTGGATTAGTCGATCCTAAATCCCAAGTCTGATTTACAAAGAACAAGTTTAGTGCTTTCTCATTCTTTTAAGTTTGAACTGGTCAAGTCATCGCGGTGTCTGCCTCGCGATGACCTCCCATCTCTCGGTAATCAAAAACAAACACTCTATATAATGCAGATAGAAAGAAACTTGCTTCTTGCAAATCATTACCATTATCACTCTGCTAATCTCCTCCCTTTGCTTCATTTCCTCAACTTTTTTCAGCCACTTTTGGAAAATTTAATATATCCCTTATTGAAGTCCTTTACGACGGTTTTTGTAGAGGAAAACTAAACAGTTGATCGTCAATGCTGGATATCCTGTTAGAGCGCGCACGTGGGAAAAACTCCGACGTGGGCTCTGGCCGTGGGTGGCTTTGTCCTGATGCTATATCAATCTTCATTGAACATCTCATTCGCATGGTGGGAAAGGGAGAAGAAACCGTTTCCATAATTCCAAGTGGTCAGATTACTGCTTTTGTTTAAAATGAATTCAATATAGCATAAAAACTGATTAAATTCTTTCACTCTTTTCTCAGTGGTTGAAAAAGAAACACAAACGAGCTCTTATGAAGCACTCCTGAAAGTCAAAGAAGGTAATTAACCATCTGAGCCTGCACTCTTTCCAGTTTTAATGTTCATTTCAGTATGAACGAGTGACTAACGATATTTAAATATGATCTGGTATAATTAACATCAGCACGTCCTGACTAGAAAATTTCCTTTATTTTTTGGTTTAGTTTATTGAATTTTTTTGTTGTTTGTTTGTGCAACTCATGCTCATGGGATTTTTACCTTCCTGTTACGGTTCTACAAGATTCGATTTCTCAAATTTGTGTTCCAAAGACGTTGGAGACAGTTGGCATCCCTGCAGCGAAAGATGAAAGATAAAGTAAAGGAAGGAAAAAATTATGATAAATGCGCGGAAAGGCAAGAACAAAATTGTTTCTTTTATTTCTTTGTATCTTGTTCACATAGTAATTTATCTTTTTAGATAAAGTTTCAGCTTTTAATGGTGAAATTGAATGTGAAGTTTATGTTGCAGGGCGGCAAAGTTGCATTCGTATCTGCATATGGTATTCATGAGCTACACATTTTCATCTTTATGTTGGCTATTTTTCATATTATCTACTGCATCACCATCTTGGCTTTGGGCAGAACCAAGGTAAATTTGCTTTCTCTTTCTCTCTCTTTTCTCTGTAATTTGTGTCTTTTTTTTTTTTTTTTTTTTTTTTTTTCATATCTCTGACTGTTTGTTAATATTACAGATGAAGAAATGGAGAGTCTGGGAAGATGAGACAAAGACCATTGAGTACCAGTACTATAATGGTAATAAGATAATTGTCCATTATATAATGTTATACTATAAGTATTATGTTAACTGGGTGTTTAATGTTTTAGCTGGATATTACAATTTTTTAATTTATTCTACTGAAAATAAGAAAAGAGTTAGTATTAAAGTCAGCTTTCATATTAGTTTTAAAAGTTGATTCCGATGAAGAGACATGGGCAATATTTAGTTAAGAGAGTGGTATATATGGAGGTGGTCCGACCATGCATTATCTTTTGGCACGTTATAAAAAGTTCACAAAGAAGTTGGATTTTTTGTGGGGCCAAACATTAATTTCTAATTTTATACTATCATTTGCCCCTTGGGATAGTAAAGAACACAGCCCACCCTTTAGTGTCATAAATAACAATTTACCCACGGCCGTTAGTATTTCGTTAGATTTGATAGTTTGACTTAACGAATAGAATGTAAAATGTATCATTCAGATAACAGAAACTAACAGAACTGACTATAAGGGGAAAAATGTAATGAAGTTTTACATTATTTTTGCTGGGTTTTGATGTTGACTTTTTAACATTTCAAGCTTTAACTAATCAGGCTATTATTATTATTGGCTTTGTATATTAAATTGTTAGTTGGAGTTAGTTAATGCCGGAAGCCTTGTGCCTTTATTTGATTTCAAATCATATATTAATAATTGAAATTAATATTTTTAAGTAAAATTCAATTTACTGACTTTTCTTTTATGGAATAAATTCAATTTATTTACTTGTGTGTTACAGATCCAGAGAGGTTTAGATTTGCAAGAGACACATCATTCGGGCGCAGACACTTGACTAGTGTGGAGCGAGTCATCATTTAGTCTGTGGATTGTAAGTACCAAATATTAAATAAATTTTTATTATTCCATTAATATCAAATAAAAATAAAATATTTATCCAATCTTCCTGTTTTTATCAGTTTGCTTCTTCAGACAATTCTTGGATCTGTTACCAAGTTGATTACCTCACGTTGACATGGATTTATCATGGTAACTAAAAAGACCATTTATTTAATTTTTATTTATTAATAATTTCTCAATTTAATTGCCAAAATGGAGTTCAATTTTTTATGTTAATAATTGCAGGCACATTTGGCTCCTGGAAGTGAAACAAAATTTGATTTTAATAATACATCAGCCGATCACTTAAGAAGATTTCATAGTTGTGTGGGGATCAGGTTGGTGCTACTGCTCTCAAATGTTAAAGCCATATAAATACATCTCTTTATATAGTTTTTTTGTTTTTTTTTCTGCAAATTTCTAACTTTTGTTTTTGTTTTTGCAGTCCTATTCTGTGGTTTGTTTCAACGTTGTTCCTGCTTACCAACACACGGTAATTTTGCTCAAATTCTTCAATTTGCTACTGATTTTTATGCATTTTCTGTGGATTACTGACAATAAATGCTTCTTTCTTTGTGAACAGGATGTTTTGCGTATCTTTGGTTACCTTTTATCCCCTTAATTGTAACACCAAACCAACAACTATCCATATTCATATTATTATTATTATTATTATTTTTATAGTTACTTAGAGGAATATAGTAATCTGAACTGAAAATTTTGCAGATAATCCTGCTGGTGGGTACGAAGCTACAAGTGATCATAACTAAACTGGGGCTACGGTTTCAAGATACAGGCAATGTGGTAAAGGGTGCGCCGGTGGTGAAGCCAGGCGACGACCTTTTCTGGTTTGGACGCCCACGCTTCATCCTCTTTCTCATTCACTTGGTTCTCTTTCAGAATGCATTTCAGCTCGCCTTCTTCATATGGAGTTCGGTAAGCATTGTTCTATACTTCAACTCCATTGCAGTCATTCCAGGGCCTGTCCAGAAAAAAGCTGAGGGCTTTGATATATATATTTTCTCCTAATACATTTGATTTATTTTGCAGTATAAATATTCCATAAAATCTTGCTTCCACCACAGAACAGAGGATATTGTCATCAGAATCTCAATGGGGTGAGTTTCATAAAAAATGACAAAAATTTATGCAGCTAGTTTTAGTCATTTCACAAACTTCTGGTAATTTTTCTAACGCAAAGTGGTTTATGCCTTCAGGGTGCTTACACACATTCTCTGCAGTTATGTGACACTGCCACTCTATGCTTTAGTGACACAGGTGAGAAAAAAGAAAAAAAGATTTTCATTAGGAAAAGTAGCCAGTTTCTGATCTATCAATCAACTTATGTTGTTTTATTTGATTCTGCAGATGGGTACTTCAATGAGATCGACTATCTTCAACGATCGAGTAGCAGAAGCGCTAAAAAGCTGGCATCACACGGCAAAAAAACACACAAAACATGGCAAACATTCTGAGACGACAACGCCCTTTTCAAGCAGGCCACAAACTCCAACTCATGGAATGTCCCCAGTTCATCTCTTGCATAACCATCCTAACCGCAGCGCTGACAGCTACCATCCTTCGCCCCCGAGACCTTCCAACTTCGATAACGAACGATGGGACCCCGAGAGCCTCCATTCGCATTCCCCTAACCAGTATGAAATCAATGAGTTTCACCATCATGGAGATTCAGGTGCCAGTGAACAAGAAATGGTGGCAGTGCCAGAAACAAGCTCAATGCAATTGCCTCCCGGACCTCGCCCTGTTCGGACGCAACACGAAATCAATATGGGTCGATCGGAATTTTCGTTCGCGAAACGATCTAGCTGATAAGATTAGATTTGAATTTACAGGTCCCAAGTTGATAGTCATTATCATGTGTTCACTTCTTGTACATGGCATAACCTGGAGCCTGCACAAAATAACCTGCAGGGATTACCGGGTACAAGGGGGTGTTAACCTGCAGGGATTACCGGGTACAAGGGGGTGGTGTTTGTGTAAGCTAGGCTGTCAAACTAGTTCTTAACTCTGAAATTAAGCTGATCTATTTGTTTATAAGCAAAAAAAAATCAGTTGGGGGGAGGTTATAAGCTAGTTTGACCAAGTATATTATAACATTATTCTTATTTAATTTTAAATTTCATAGTATACCCTTGTTTAATGTAGTACTATTTTTAGTCATTTTATAATAAAATGTACTTATAAGCCACATATTACCAAACACGTCAACTATTTATCAGTGACTTATAAGTACTTTAATCAAACATATAATTGCTTAAAATTTCAAATGATTATAAGCTAAAATTAGCTTATGAGCAATTACTTTAAATGTGAACCAAGCTTTGCCAAGCCAATTCTAAACTTTCTCTTTTTTTGCCTTTGGTAGGTGAGTTTTTCATCTTTACAAATTTTCATTCCAACTTTCTAGACAAAACTATGTAATTGTCCATAAGTTAAATTGTCATATGGTATAGTACCATTATATTGTTTCCTAATTTTTTCTCTAACCTTTTCAGCTAAGATGTTGGGCAATCCTGCAAAAAATTTAACCTTCCAATAGGCATTTAACCTTCCAATAGGCTTTGCTAGTATCAGGCATTTGCATAACCCTAACAAAAAAAACGTTTCTTTATACCATCTATAATCATGAAGGGTTTTGCATTTTAAGTTCATTAGTGTAGCTTGACTTTTGTCTTTTACGTTAGCAGGGTCCCCTACAAAGTGGAGAGTCATCGCAAAAATTAAGGTATTAACAGACTCCTGAATTTCATTACCATCTTCATCTAAAATTGGTATTCCATTATCATCAATTTTGATTGCAGTAAGAATTTCACTTTGGTTTTGTTCTTGTAGGTGGCTATCCCACCAGGATTTGAGAGAGCCAGTGAAGCCAGCTACCAACAAGTGTGCTATGGCTTGGTCTGTTGAACTATGTTTAGTCCTAGAGGCTCACAGCCATCACTGACCATAGTCATTTGTTGTAAGACCATAATAATATTATAATCAGACATGCCATCTATGTTCCATTCATAGATAGAATTGGCATTGTATTTTCTTTGTTGTATTTGAGGGATTCTTCCAAAACTAAATCTGGGGGCTAAGCTCTGGATAATACATTTTTTGAGGTTTTTTCCAATTCATGTTGTTGATTTGAATAGAATATCACTTGAGGAAGTATTTTGATCATCAGTTTGTGATGAATCTGTTTACCAATAAAATTTATATGTTTAGAAGTTTGGGGGGTGTCTGGTGCGACAACACTAGAGAATTCTTCTTTTATCTGGTTGGTTTTTTTTATTTTCTTGCATAAATTCTTCTTGTTGGTTAAAGTTTAGTGTGTTTGGAGGGATTTCATGTGGAAAAATAAAGGTTTGTTTCAACAATTTTTAGTGGTTTTGACCTTTCGTCAATAGGTTTTAGGAGGTTTGTTACAACGTCTCAATTCTATTAACGTTTGCTAATAGTATTCAAACATTGGTTTGCATAATTATTTTGTTGATAAATATTTTTTATATCATTTCCTGATATTTCATTTAAATTTTCTTTGATTAAAGTGAAGCCTTAATTTCTACTTTATAGGGAATCGTTACTTCTTTAAAGGTGGATGAATGATCTATCGCTTCATTATCTTTTCCTCTTGCGATTTTCCACTGTTTTGTTTTGTTTGGACATTGATTGTTTTTCACTATCAAACCATTGGAAGAAAGGTATAAGAATTTGGTGTGTTTTCATAAAGTTGTAATAATTTGTGAATTAGATCTCTTCTTTTTTATTAAAGTTTTTGAAGAATGTTTCTTTAATTCTTGATTATCTTTTGAATAAAAATCATTTCTTAAGAAGTTTTGTCAATATCAAATTTTTCAATAATGTTTAACTCTGCAAATTGTCATTTGGGAATAGGTTGGAGACATTCTTTGTGATGTCTCTTCCTCATTTGTTGGGAGGGGTTTGAACTGAATAATAAGGTTGTTATTGTGAGGAATTATCAATTCCTTGAATATTAGTTTTAACCTGGCTAGGTCTAGGGGGTATCTATGAACAAGAAAAACTTCTTTGTTCAAGAGGTTCTTTGGGATTTAACTCGGATGAGGATAAGTGTGAGTCATCAAAACTTATTATTGGAGGCCTACTAAACCTAATCCGAAACTTCCATCAAATTTCAGTTAGTTTTCAATTTCTGTATTTTGGATTGGTTGAGTTAAAGGTTTAGGAATTCTCATCTAAAGGAATGACTTCGTTAGCTAACTCCCAATCCTCTGGTAAAGTTATTGATCCCAATTGATTTTAGGAACTGTTATGTTTGATCTTGTTAGTAGTTTGAAATAAAACTGTGTGGCCTTTTTGGTCATGATTAATGGCTTAGTTTCAAAAGCTGATTGCATTAGTTTATATTGGATCCTATAAATGGCTATAGGGATGGTTCCGGTTTTAAGTCATAATTAAACGTTTTAATATTAAAGTTTAAACGTCTAGTATATTTTGTCATCCAAGCAGACTGTGAAATCAGGATAACAATTGAATAAATTGGTCCATTGGACAGGCTGGATTCTTTATTCCTAATAGAGAATCTCTAAATCTTAGCTATCTAATCTCTAAACAGGCAAAGATGGCAGTGTCTAAGCCTTCAATGCTTGGAGGTTTGATTCCTATTGGACAAGTCCTATATGAAGATAATTATAACTCTTTTGTATTTTTTAACATTTCTTAGATAATAATTGAGTGATTTGAGAAGATGTTCTTAAGAGTTTTTTCTTTGTTTTAAATATGTATTTGATTTGTTTAAAGGGTTAACTCTATTGAGACTTGATAATTTTCCTTCTTTGTAAACATCTGTTACAGAAATTTTGGGAATGTTCCATTTATCAAAATGTTTTTGTAAATCTTGAGGTCTTATGACCTGTTTATCCTTTGTGCACAAGCATGACTTGTTTCAATTATGTTGTCATTTTGATTATACAAATCTCTTCTTAAGAACAATCTGTTCATCTCTAGTATTGAACATGGAAGTAAGCATTGATCTAGAAAAGTTTTCTATTTGTATCACCTATTTCTTTCCTACAGTGGTTGATCTAAGGGACTTACAACGGCAAAATCCTACAGCCTTACACAACCCAAAATGACTCGGTACTCAAAATAATTAATAAATAAAATTTTAACAATCCTAAATCCCACCTCCTACCTGGCTCTGATACAAGAGGGGACACAGGATCGTTGTACACAAAGAGGAGATATGCAGAGATTAAATAAAACTTAATAAATTAAAAAACATTAATTAAATAATCTTACAACTTAATAAGACAACGGCGACAGAGCTGCACATAAATCATATTAAGAAGTGAGATTAACACTTAACTAGGTAACGGTGATAGTGTCGCACTGGAACCAGATTAAGTGATGAACAAAAATTTAAAGAAACAAAGAACACAATAAAAAACTAAATAAACATTAAATCAAACATGATGAATGATAATAAAAGAACTAGAACTTGAAAGATTAAAGAGAATAATAAGGAACTTGAAAGATTAAAGAATGATGTTATTGAAAGAATTAACTTACAATGAAAGCTTTCTTTTTGGAGAGCTTTTGGGAAGTTTACATCAAAGAAAGTGAAAGAGAAAGTTTAGAATTGGCTTGGCAAAGCTGGTTCACATTGCATGAAGCCTCCTAATTATAGAAAACTTATCTTACATACAACATGAAAATATATGAATGAATATTTTAATCTTTTTTTTTTTAAATTAAACATTAAATATCTCTTTGCAGGGAATCTCTGACTCTTCAATATTATGCCAGATATTTCTGAAGCAGATGTCGGTTTTTTGGCTAGGGAGGAGGCAGGGATTAGGATTGTTAAAATTTTGTTTATTAATATTTTTGAGTACCAAGTCATTTTGGGTTGTGTAGGGTTGTAGGATTTTGCCGTTTAAGTCCCTTAGATCAACCACTGTAGGGAAAGAAATAGGTGATATAGAAAATGAAAAACTTTCTAGATCAATGTCTATTCCAGTTCAAATATAGAGATGAACAGATTGTTCATCAAGAAGAGATTTGTATAAATCAAAATGACAATATAATTGAAACAAGTCATGCTTATGCACAAGCGGATAAACAGGTCATAAGACCTCAAGATTTACAAAAACATTTTGATAAATGGAACATTCCCAAAATTTCTGTAACAGATGTTTACAAAAAAGGAAAATTATCAAGTCTCAATAGAGTTAACCCTTTAAACAAATCAAAATACATAATTAAAACAGAAGAAAAAACTCTTAAGATAAACAATTCTTCTCAAATCACTCAATTATTATCTAAGGAAATGGTTAAAAAATACAAAAAGAGTTATAATTATCTTCATATAGGACTTGTCCAAATAGGAATCAAACCTCCAAGCATTGAAGGCTTAGACACTGCCATCTTTGCCTGTCTAAGAGATTGTAGATGGCTAAGATTTAGAGATTCTCTATTAGGAACAATATAATCCAGCCTGTCCAATGGACCAATTTATTTCAATTGTTATCCTGATTTCACAGTTTGCTTAGATAACCAAAATATATTAGACGTTTTAACTTAAATATTAAAATGTTTAATTATGACTTAAAACTGGGAACCATCCCTATAGCTGCCATTTATAGGATCCAATATAAACTAATGCAATCAGCTTTTGGAACTAAGCCATTAATCATGACCAAAAAGGCCACACAGTGTTATTTCAAACTAACTTAACAAGATCAAACATAACAATTCCTAAAAGAATCAATTGGGATCAAATAACTTTACCAGAGGATTGGGGGTTAGCTAACAAAGTCATTCCCTTAGAAATGAGAATTCCTAAACCTTTAACTCAACCAATCCAAAATACAGAAATTAAAAACATAACTGAAAATTCTGATGGAAGCGTTCGGATTAGGTTTAGTAGGCCTCCAATAATAAGTTTTGATGACTCACACTTATCCTCATCCCGATTAAATCCCAAAGAACCTCTTGAACAAAGAAGATTTTCTTGTTCAGGAAGATACCCTCCTAGACCTAGCTAGGTTAAAACTAATATTCAAGGAATTGATAATTCCTCAACAATACCACAACCTTATTATTCAGTTCAAACACCCTCCCAACAAGATGGGGAAGAGACATCACAAAGAATGTCTCCAACCTATTCCCA